CTGGCTCTGTCCGATGGCGCGTAGCCCTGCAGGGGAGGGTGAAAAGTGCGGCGTACTGCGGCCCCTCGCCGCGCCCATATCCACACCAATCCACACCACGCGAAACCGGCGCAGAAAATAGAAAGACGCGTTGCGAGCCGGATCATCATCTCGTCGTGGACCACGCGGAGAGACGCCATACATAGGTCTCTGAGCTGCACCGCACCGGGCGTCAGAGGTGACGCGTCGCCCCAGCTGAGAGTCGGCAGACGCTCGACGGAGACCGTCGGGGAAGCTGAAAACGAACCGTGGACTGCGTCACAAGTCAGACAACCACGGTGTGCCGGGCGAGCCCTGCCCAACGGCAGAGGTCTGCGGACTGCGCCGTACCACCACGAGAACAAAACAGGAAGAGGTCGAGCGTCAGAGGTGACGCGCACGAACAGCTAGCTGCAGCTGCAGACAGACAGAACCTCCGACGGAGACCCTCTAGGACGAAGTCCTCCTTGTGCCCTCAGAAAACACGCCCCACTGGCACGAAGCCGCAAACTCACACGGAGCCCTTCAGCCCGGATCATCCTGGGACGAGTGTTCTCCGGGCTCCTTGTGCAAAACGGACGAATACCGCTTGGGCGCAGCGCACTGCGCTGTCGACACGCAGATCTCATGCGCCAGCCGGACGTGGGCACGTCGCGTACCCACAACGCACCCGCCCAACGATCATTGTCACAAAGCAGTGAGACCGTGGCCGCCTGCTCTCCCTTGAGTTACTCCGAAGCACCAAAACTGCACGGACTTGACCGAGCATCGTGCCCACGTGCTCCAAGAATCGCTCATCACAGGTTGAAGAACAAAGATGAAAGAGGAAGAATCCCTTTTGCGGACTGTCGAGGACACAAAGATATTATCTGAAGACTTGACTGAGTATCGTGACCGATGATCGATCGTAGGTCGAAAACAAAGACCAAGACGGAAGAGGAAGAATCCCATTTGCGGCCGACCGAGTCCACCTGAATCGCCTTCCCTCGACACAAGTACAGACGCCGTGAGATGCACGTTCGCTCGTGGTCCGCATGAAAACCGCTGAGATTCATTGCACGATCGAAATGGAATCCATATCTCGCGAAGTCGGAAGCAGTGGGACACACGGACGTCGATCACCGTGTGCGCGGTTTCAGCGGATTATGGAGGGCTATCCATCGTGCGTGGGTCGCGCTTGCACAAATCGATCTACCAGGCGGCTGCCTGTGAGACTATGGTAGCGTGGTCGCAACTGGCGATCCCGGGGACTGATGAGATGGGAACGCCAGTAGGGAGGCCGGCTCGCAGCGACGGAGGGACGGAGGGATACAAAAAAAGAACTGGATTGGGGTTAAGGGGGAAGCGAGACCTGTGCGGGTGGTTCCAGCTTGTCGTGTGCAGCACCTGGGCTTCGTCGTCCCTTCGATTCCTTCGGGTCAGGGAAAGCTCCCACCGTCCGTCCGTCACTGGAAGAGTACTGGAAGCCGGCGCGCCTTGCTACGCTGCTGCTTGATTGCGGCCCACTCCTCTCGTTTCTGGGTCTTCTTTCTGCTTTGATCGCGGTCAAACCCTCTTTTTTCTGCTCTGCCTTTCATTCGTCCCTGCTTGAAACACACGAAATAAGATTAAGACAAAGACGGCGCAGGAGTCCTAAACATACCTTATGCCAATGAGGATGGGAGAGCCAGCTGTGAGCGGAGTGACCACGCGATCCCGATTCCTTGGGCACCGCGCCCCGGGGGGCAGGGAGGTGAGCGGAGCAGCACCAAAAGGACAAGGATTGGGGTTAACGAGGGGAGAGCTGCGCGGGTGCTTCGAGCTTGTCGTGTGCAGCACCTGTGGCTTCTTCGTCCCCTCGATTCCTTCGGGTCAGGAAAAGATTCTACCGACGCGAGCGTCCGTCCGTCACTGGAAGCCGCCGCGCCTTGGTACGCTGCTGCTTGATCGCGGCCCACTCCTCTCGTTTCTGGGTCTTCTTTCTGCTTTGATCGCGGTCAAGTCCTGCCTCCGAGTCCTCTTTCTGCTCCGCCTTTCATTTGTACCTGGGTGAAACACATGAGATAAGATTAAGACGAAGACGGCGCAAGAGTCCTAAGCATACCTTGTGCCAATGGGATGGGAAAGCCAGCTGTGGGCGGCGATCCTGGACAAAGACACCCCCATTTCTTAGGCACCGTGTTCTGGGCGGCAGGGATGGACGCAAGGACCTGTTTGGATAGAGGTGAGCGGGGGACGGAGAACTGTACGGGCGTACGCACTATCCCCCCACGTGCATCGTCGCCTGATTCAAATTGAATCGTTCAGCACCACAGGCGCCAGGCGCGTCATCCTACCGAGAAGGGCGTCCGTCGCCGCTACTCGATCGACTCCTCCTGCCTCCAAGTAATTTTTTTTTCTGCTCCGCTTCTTTTCTGCGTAACTCCTAGAAAAAGATGAGATAATATTAAGGATGGAGAACGGACGACCACATACCGATTGTGGAAAGGGAAAGCGCGATGTGGACGTAGCGATCCTGGACGAGACACGATCCCGATTCTTTCACACCGACGGTCTCTGCATGTAGATGCGGCCGCCTACGCATACGCATACGCCGCCGCCGCACAGATTCACGCACGCTGGAGGAAGCGTCGACCTCTGCGCTTCACTGAGAGGGTTCCGACATGGGACGGGCGTCCTGAGCGAGGCTGCCCATTTATCTGCAGCTCAGCGCCGCTCGCGCAGTACTTCAGAGTCTGAGGCCCGCATATCTTCGCTTTCGGCTCCTCTAGGTGGTAAAGACGCGGAAGGCCGGCGTCTCACAGAGCGGAGTGCCACGGAGGAGTATGAGATGTGTACTTGAGACGCATGAACCTAATCCAATAGGCCTAGGGACGCGAGAAGCGTATTGCGCGCCCGGGTGCCTCCAAGTACGCTTCAGAACGAGGAACGAGCGAGGGAGGATCTCAGGAGACCAGTTCACGTCTCCTACACATTCGCTTTTGTTGTGGGGACTCGGAAGTTTGAGGCCAAACTTTGATTTCTGTGGCTTTGGACTGCGGATATGGAGAATGAAACTCGAGGATCTGAGTGGGCAGTATTCCACACAAGAGATTGACCTAAAAGTTGTAGACACCAAGGTTGGATAACCCTAACCCTGGGTAACCTTACCTCTGACCTCACCGCAGCTGACCGTGACAACCAGCGCTTGCCGAACAACTATTACCATGTCCCTCGTAAGTCTGCGCAAAGACGCAGCACCGCGCCTTGCATTGATGCAATAATGCGCTAGATCCACGCCCTCGTCGCCCGTGGCTCGACCATCCTCGCCGAGCACCAGGCAGGCAAGCAGAACTTCTCTCAAGGTGCGCCACTTTCTCCCTCCCTCCCTCTTGTCTTGAAGTCTGATTGAATTCGCGCCTCACTGCCTGCAGCGACGCAGACGATCCTCTCCAAGATCCCTCCGAATGACAGGTGCGCTTTCCGTCCCAACTCCAGTAGTCAAGTGCGGATCTGACGCCCGCGCAGCAAGCTAACGTACGTGTGGGAGCAGTACCTGTTCCACTACGTCTCCGAGGGCGGGTTCACGTACCTCGTCATGGCGGATGACTCGGCTGGGCGGTGAGTCGTCCCTTGCGCGCTTGGGAGAGTGGCTCACTCGGTGCATTGCAGGCGGATGCCGTTTGCATTTCTGGCGGAGCTGCAGCGCAAGGTGGGTTTCTTGTCTCTTATTGTTCGCTTCGCGGGGACTGAGCCAAGGGCGGTTGGTGCACCGAGGACGATCGGTGGAAGGTCGGCGCGCCGCCGCGTCTAGGACTAAACGGCTGCCCTCTATTCCCTTCTATTCTCTTCTCTTCCTCGCTCCCTACCTTACATCCGCTAACACATACACCCACCCTTAGTTCGCCGCGCTCCCCTCCTCCTCCTCCACCACCTCCGCCTCGCCCGCGCACCACGCCCTCCAAAGCGCCTTCGGGCCGGCCATCGCGTCGCTCATGCACACCTACAACACCGCGCCGCCCGCCGACGCGCTCGCGCGCGCACAGACGGAGCTCACCGCCGCCAAGGACATCATGGTGCAGAACGTCGAGCAGATCCTCAGCCGCGGCGAGCGCATCGAGCTGCTCGTCGACAAGACGGACGTCATGGCGGGGCAGGCGACGGCGTTCCGCCGCGGCGCGCGCGGCGTGCGCCGCCAGATGTGGTGGCGCAACGTCAAGGTCGTCGCCCTCGGCGGCGTCGTCGCGCTCGTGCTGCTGTGGATTCTGGTCGCCCAGTTTTGCGGCGCGGGGCTGAATCAGTGCTCGGGGAAGCCGAAGGGGGAGCCGAGTGAGTAGAGGGTGCGGCGCATTGGCGTGCTAGACGAAGACTTGGAGGCGCGCGGACACGGTATGCACCCCGGCCTATGTATATCATATTCATACATCTACTATATTATCTCTTACTCTCCTTATTCCGCCGTCCGCCCGGGACACTTCGCTCGAGACGACGTCAGCCGCCGACGCCTCTACGACTCCCCAACTCAATCTTCGTCTTACCTCGGATGTCTGATGTCGCTACCACGATCTCCCTGCCGCTGCGCCAATCTCCGTATCCCTGCCCACGACGTCCCTGCACTCCAAGTCAGGCTACATCCATGCGACAGCATGTCGGAGACTACACACGCGCGGGATTGCGTCCCTCTCACGGGAGGACCATCCGTTCGCGGTTTGGTGCTCCATCACGATCGGGCGTCCTTCCTGAGTCCATCGACTCGCGCGCGGGGCCTTTCCACCAAATTTCCCCCTGCTCGGCGATGAGATCGAAGGCCTCGAAACAATTGTACCCCGTGTAACTTATCGCCCCGGGCCCTTCATCTCAATCGCAACTTCCTCGGCACCAAGAAAGAAAGACGCGCTCAGAAAACGCGCACAGTACTTGAGCCGTAGCTCCACTTTGTTCCCCGTCTTACGGCGTGGGCTCCAGCCGTCGGGCCCTGATGTGTTGGGTACCATTCGAGCTGTGGCTGAAGCGGTAAGGGCAAGGACTCGGTGGCGAAGTGGTTTCGCGTCCACTAAATCTTCTCATGTAAAAGGTCATACTGAGTGGAAGGTGCCCGTTCGATTCGGGCCCGAGTCATGATTGGGTCTGGATCTCTTTTTATTTTTATTTTTCTTCACAGAATGCTGCAGTGGGGCTGTGTGCGCTGTCGCCGAGCGCGGGGCTGAGAGAATACTGGATTTTGGACCGTCATGCGACACTGGGGACTTCTCGGTGCCTCAAAAATCCCAATCGGTATTTATTTATTTATTGTCTGGATGTCGGGGGAGGCATTGAGAGGTAATTCAGGATTTCAGCTGGCGGACGAAATACAGTATCCGTAGCACACATTAGACGTCATGTATGTAGCACGGGCCCCAGTGTTCGTTCGAGGGACCTTGCCGGCAATTCCTTCCTTGTTTCCTTCCTCAGTCGGCATGGGGCTGACTTCCTCTGTCGGCATAGGGCTGCTCTCCGCGCTCTTCTTGAACATCGTGGCGAACTTGAAGAGGCCCCGGCGCTGCTTTGGGGCGGCCGGGGGAAGGGCCACAGACACCGTTGGGGAGCTGGCTGTAGACTGATCTGGGGAGAGCGGGGAACTAGGGGTTGACTCGAGAGACAGGGAGGTCAGCGAGCCGTTTCTGGCAGGGAGATCCCTGGGATCCCCTTGGGGGAGGGGCTGCAGCGGGGGCGGCGATTGTTCAGCAACCCATGGGAGGAGCGGCCAGTCTTGCAGAGAACGCCGAAATCTTGAACTTGACATCTCGTCCCAATCTATGCCAGAATGAGTGCTTTTCGCTCCAATGAGTGGCCCAACAAGTCGCTGGACAATTTCCGCGGCTGCGGGTCGGAGACCTGGTGCATTCCAGCACTCGTGCATTAGTTCCCAAATATTGTGATAGGCTGTGGTCTCCGGCCATGGAACTGGCTGCGCTGGGCGAAGTCCCTCGATCGCGACTTTGAACATCACCGCATGTTCTGGTACCTCGTAGAATGGAATTTTCTCAGAGAATATCTGTCGACTGATCAGACTTTGCAGTAAGCATCGGGCAGGCAGGATTGAGAGGTACCTCATAACACACGCATGCGAACGCATAGACATCCGATCGAACATTGCTCCCGCTTTCTCCCCGGAGCAGCTCCGGCGCTTGCCACCGCATGGTACCTCTTTGGGGTCCTGCAGTCGAGTGGGTGAAGCAAATTGTCATGGAGTCAGCGATTGAGGACAAGCCAAAGTCGGCGATACAGGCTCTTCGCAAGGGAGTGACCAAAATATTCGACTGGTTAACCTTGGTCAGAGGAAGGAGGAATGTGGAGTTGGGGTCGCTTACCGCCTTGAGATCCCCGTGGATTATATGCGCGCCGTGCAAATATTCGAGGCCCATGGCGACATCCAAAATCTCCGGCGGAAAGGTCAGGTTACAATCTCGGACTTTCATGGTTAGTTGGCACTCACCAGGGATGGACGGTCGGTATCCGCGGGTGCGATCCTTAAGAATTCCAAAATGTCCCCATTTTCCATCCATAGCGAAACGAGACACAGTCTGTTATCCAAATAATATAGCCCAAAGAACGGAAGTAAGTTTGGATGAGAAAGCTGGCGCCAGATGAGAGCTTCGCGACCGAAGTCCTGGATACAGAAACGTGAGTGCAAAGTCGGTCTTCAAACAAGATGCGTGCCTTCAGCGCAGCTTTCACGTCCGCATCTCGGAACAGACGCATGATTTTAACCGCAACACTCTGGCCTCCAACCAGGCCCTTGCAGATATCGCCGAACCCCCCTGCTGCCACTTGCTGGCCCACTTTCTCCAACCCGGACAATGCGAAGCATGTAGGATGGAGTTCGGATGCACGCGACAGTCTGATCAAGGCTTTGGAAAGTAGTGGCCTCGATGTCAAGTCGCAGGTCGAATCCAAAATCTCATCGCGATGATTGTAGATTAGCACGACTACACGAGAGAAATAATTGCTGGAGTACGTACATTTTGAATGAGATCCAAAAGTTGTTGCGCGAGACTCCCGCGACAGGCCAGAAGACGTCGATAAGTCCCCTCGTCGCGCAGCAAGGAGACCAATTGTCTCTCAACGACACTAACATCCTGAGACAATTGCTCCGATATCTGCTTTTGAACCGGGCGGCCAGCTTTGGAAGACGTCTGGCGAAGAGCGGGATAAATGAGAGTAATTCAATGTATAGCAGCTCACCTTGTTATTCAGATACCCAAGCAGTATATTCACAACGGACTGGTAATTTCCAAGACTGGACAATATGTCCCATTCGGCCCATTGTTTCGACAAGTCCCGAATTTCCGTCATTAGGCTACGAAACGCTTCGTTATAGTTTATACACCGACGGAAAGAATGGGGAACCACCCATTGGATCGTCTTAGTACATCCAAGGCGTAGAAAACCAAGTTCTGATCGACATTAGATTATGGTAGCCCACAAGTTGAGTTCCGCACCTTGTGTATCTCAAGCCATGGACCAACATGTAATATGGATTGAACGATCGGGGAAACATCTGAAACATCGGAATACTGTAGGCCGTCCCAAACCGCGGGAGAGTTAATTCGGGGTCCTTCAAACACCGCGGTCATCGTCAGTTTTTCTAGCGAGAGATCAAGTTTGGGGAGCGCCTGAGCGCCTCGCCAGTTCCAACTGGCGCTCGTACCGTGAATGGCTGTGCATGATTCGAATCATGTCAAGAAGCATGTGAGTTGTTGCTGCGTGAACGGGGCGGGAGCGGCAATACCGTATGTACTATTTCGACCAAGTGTTCAACATTAATTTCGGCATTATCATTCACCGACATGGTCGACAAATTTTCTTTTGAATTGTCGCGATTGTTATCGACCTCAGAAAAATCGGCCCCGAGCACTCGGTCGAAATAGACAGTAAGAGATCTGAGCGCTGAACGTTGAACAGGAATGGTAAAAGTTGATCGTGCTTACGTACACTCATTGACAACCGCAGACCGCCAGTCTTTTGCGCAGCTCGCCGAATGGACCATCCCTGAGCTCGCCCTCGAACATTGGAGAAAACAAATCTTCATTCACAAAAAAAAAACACATTCGACATTATGTTGCCGCCTCGAGGTTCCCCTGCGTGTCGCAGAGATACATGCCGTACAGTGCCCACAGCCGGCTCTCCGCCACCCCCGAGTCTGTGAAGGCGGGCGCATCCGCCGCTGCGAGGTCGAGGGCTCTGTCAATCATACGCGTTAGCGTCGCGTCACCTCGCATGAGAAACGCAAAGAGGAAGGAAAAGACAAGGGACGCACCATGCACGACAAGGTACCGCGGCACCTTCTGCGCCTCAGGCCTGGGGAGGAGGGGACGCTCGTCCCACTCCGGAGGTTATCAATGCATTCGTACGTGCGCGTGCGCACCCACCCCTTGCTCCCCGCCACGTCCCCACCGCCGCCTCCTTGGGCGCGTCATCCAGCCACTGCGCCAGCACCACCGGCGTCGGCCTCACCCCTCCTCCTCCCGCTGCATACGAGCTCGTCCCCCTCTCCCCCGAGTCCTCGAGCAGCACATACGTTCGTCTGTCGAGAAGAGAAGAGAAAGGCGCTTCACGAGCGCGGCCTCGTGCGGGGAGCGGGGAGCGCGTAGGCGCGTGTAGCTCTCGTGCACGAAGGTTGCGGTGTCGTCGATGTCGTACACCGCGAGCCAGGTGGGCATGAGGCCGTCGGAAGCGCGCGCCTGTGAGGAAGGAGGGGAGGTGGTTGAGGCGGAGGGGGACGCGTTCGTTGTTGTACCAGTCTGCAGCGTGAAAGAGAGGTGAGTTTGTGAGATGAACAACGCGAGTAAGAGGTGACGAGGAGGAAGCCGGGCGCCATCGTCGTGGTTGGGACATGGGAATCGGCGAGAGGGCGGGTAAAAGGTCCTTCCGCAGATGCTGCTGGTCCTGCACAGTGTTGTCAGTTAAGGGGTTTGAGGGGTTTGACGAGTGGTCAACCGTTTGACTCTCGATCCTTGACGGGTCAACGCGTCAAGACCGCGGGCCGGGAGGTCCGACTCGTTTAAGCGGACGAATTTAAAAAAAATCCTTTCGACGGGTTTGTCAGCCCCTGACCGGTCATGAGTCAATGACGAGTTACCGTTAACCGCTTGACAGGTCAGAAATCCTTGACCCTTCTTGACCTTCTTGACCCTGACAACACTGCTGCTGGACAACAGGGCAGGAAAATCTCTTGAATTTCGATGACTCCACTGCAACTTGACTCTTCGGTGTGCGGAGAGTTGGACAAGATCTAGACGAGCTGCTATTCCGTTCTTTTTCTCTTTGGTCCAGTGAAGAAGTCCGCAAACGGTCTTGCCTTGACACCAAAAATTGGAGATCGCCAGAGCAACGCGTCAAACATCGATATTTTCCGGGCGCAGGCTTGGGCGCAGGACCCAGTGAACCCACATCCATTGCGAAAAACAACACCAGAGTCGGAGCACCGACGACCGACCTGCACGCCACTGGCATTCATCAGCAGACTATCCCACCTTCTCGTATCGCGCGCACGGCGTCAGCGGGCGTCACTCCACGCGAAGTTGACGAGGCCGCCCTAGCGCGTGAGGAGACGGGCGTTCGGAATTTGGCGTGGCCATGGGATGGCGTAGAGGGCAAACCGCAAAGATGATGCGAGAACGGAGGGCTATGAAGCTAATATGAAGCATACGTAAGCACGATCAACTCCATTAATATTCCTGTTGAACGCTCAGCTCTCTTACTGTACTATTTCGACCGAGTGTTCTGGGCCGCCGATCTTTCTGAGGTCGATGAAAATTTATGGGAATTCAGAAAAGAAAATTTCTGGGCCATCTCGGTGAGTGATAATTCCGAAATTAATGTTGTCGAAATAGTACAGTATTCAAGTTGCCGATACTTGATACGATGCACAGCCATTCACAGTAATACGAGCGCCAACTGGAACAGGCGCTCAGGCGCTCCCCAAACTCGATCTCTCGCTAGACGAACTGACGATGACCACTTTGCTTGAAGAACGCGGAATTAATTCTCCCGTGGTTTGGGACGGCCTACAGTATTCCGATGTGTCAGATTTTTCCCTGGTCATTCAATCCGTACATGTGGGTCCATGGCTTGAG